TGAAATGTCCTTTTATGATTTTATTTTATTTTAAGTTACACAATAAAAATAACTTTTGCTATTCCTAAGCTCACCGACGGACTTATGTTGAGAAGGGGTTAGATACAAACTCTATTTTTCTCTAAACAATTTTTTATAATTTTAAATATCTAAAATTGTAATGCTCTACCCATTAAAAGAAAATTAATATAAAAGGTAATTTTTAGCCTTCTTAATACAAAATACAATAGGCCCTCCTCAATAATTAATCTTGATTCCACCATGGCCACTTGCACACCATATAACTCAAATTTATAAATTTTTATTTTTATTAAAAAGAGACTATTATTGAACTATTTAGGTTATAGCCACTTAACAACTTTTTTTTAAAGTTCTCCAACAATATTACTTTCATAAATCTCCATTATATATTAAAGATTAAATTTTTTTTAAATTTAACAATATGATAAAATTTAGATTGTATAATTAAATTTTACACGTTAAGTAGGCTTTGCAATCTTTTTTTGTAATAGTAGTTGATGGTTGTCTTTATTTTTTATTTTAAAATATGATAAGGAACGTAGCAGAACTAACCTCTATTTTTTCTTTTTTGGTTTGGTACGTATGAAAAACTAATCTCCGTTTGGTTTAGGAAGTTGGTGGAAACTTGTTAAACTATTTATATTGAAAAGTAATTCTTTGTCTCGAAGGTTGGAGCATGATAAACCTAATAGAGTAGAATTACTTAGGGCCTAAGGCAAACAACAAAGACTTTGGATTGTTTGACAAAAATAATTAACTAACAAAAATTGAAGTTAGGGGTGTTAAAGTCTCATATTCGCACATCAAATTAAGTGTAAAAAACCTTCTAAACCAATTAGTCTTTTTTGAAAATCTAGAAGCTAAAACCTTTAATATTGGTCCAATAATCAATTTGATTGGCTAAAGTCTTCGAATATTGTTATTTCTATTGTTATGACATTATATAGATGTTCGATTGATAAATACTATGATGAAAGGATTAATGAAAAAAAATAAAATCAATAATTTATTGATTTGAATGAAATGAATTCATTTAAAATTTTAAATTTGAGTTTTATAAATATAAAGATAAGTGTTGGAAAAGTTTTCTCTTTCTCTTTCTCTTTCTCTTTTATGGTATTTGATATAACTTGACTTCGTATTATCAAGTTTAATATATTTAGCTTTTGAATACTTGAGGATTTAGTAATATATATATATATATATATATATATTAAAGTAATCTTACCTACATAAGGGGTGATCATAACCTAATCTCTTAAAAACTCAATAGTTTTTTTTATAACTAATGAATGTTTAGTTATTGCAAATAGAAGACAGATTCAAAGAATTGATTGCTATCTTATAGCTTGAATGATCGAGTTCTTCCCAGTTTTCACCCGCCATTTTAATGTAGAGAAAAGATGGATTCGAATTTTTCTTCTCTCAAATTATTATTCCACAACCCCACAAAATGAATACAAGGAATGGAATTTCGAGTTTCAGCTCAAAAAAATGAGCTCACGGAAAGAATAATCATGGATTGAGTTGGAGTAAAGTGTTAGAATTCCTCTTGAGGCAGTTTCCAACCATAAAAGTATGCATCCATTGAATCCTAGCTAGAATTTGGGATTTAATAATTCTTGTCATTTAATGTTAATTGTCTGAAATTCTTAAAAAAAAAAAGGGTTAAATCTAGTATTTTACCAATAAAAATTTAATTAAATTGGTATTTATCAATTATATATAAAAAAATCTTATTCGAAATCAAAATCATAGATTGAAGTTTCTGCATTGACTAAGTAGACGTAAGTAACCCTTTATTCTGGAACTTTTCAAGTAAAAAAAAAAAAAAACAACAACAAAATGATGGAAAATGATGATGTATTGGTTTGGTTCATGAAAATGTTACATCATGACTAAGTATTTATGAACAGGTAATGGTAGGTGGAGAGAAAATGATACACTAGAAATTAAAATCAAATAACGTGGAGTCAGGTGAAGTCATTGCTCATTAGTACTTCTCTGATTTGGAATTTGGTGGAGGTGAGAATCTGAAGACCAAGTCACCCACAAACCAAATTGTTTTTTTTTTTTTTTTTTTGCAATATGTCCAAGACCTCGTTTGGCAGGCTATTAATTAAATTAATCTCCTCTATAATAATGTTAATGTCGTTTTAAAGTTCCAACGAAATTGCCTCATCATGAGTTCTGGAAATATGAATCTGATTCCCACTATTTTAGTGTCGACCAAACACAGCAAAATATAAAGATGGAATACTGTGTGTATATAATCCAGGCCAGATTGTCTGGGTTTGTTTCAGAATTCTCGAGTTCTAAAATGTACTCTAGAATAAATTATAAAATCCCCACAAGTTGTGAGCCAAATGCTAAAAAAAATAGTTTGGTTAGCAATTGTGAGTCCCAGTCTCTGCAATTCATACTGTATGCAAAAAGTGATGAATTTGTGCAATTTGGTGGAGTTTGAATTGTACAAAACATTATGTATCATCATTCTATTTTTTTTTTCTTGGAATATTGGAGGATTTTGGGGGAAAGGGATTTTTTTTTTTTTTTTGGCTGAGGGTGCACCGACCATTTAGTCTGCGAGGCGACTTTACTGTTGATTACAGTGAAGTTTTCACCAAAATAATTTTATAAAACAGGGAAGATAAAAGTCAAAAACCAAGTGATCTTTCACAAATCATAACAGCACAAGTGGGTGAATTGGGCAGGTAAATGCGCACTTTCGAGAATTGGAAACTGAATCAAAGGGTTAATCGCATAGTAAAAACTTACTTAAATAATGGGTTAAAGTAATATTTAAAAAAATTGAACAAAATGGGAAGTTGGGGGAAGTAGGTGTATTTTACTATTTCAATGAGGCATGCATGCATGCGTAGGATACTCTGAGCTCTACCCTACCGTATTTATATATTTTATCAATGGAGAAAGAAGCCAAAGTGACTGCAGTTTGTTTCACAAGTTGCACTTTTATAAATGCTGCAAATTAGAGATAAAACAAGAGCGTGACAGGGTAAAGGGTGGGGGGGGCGCCGGTGCAGTGGGGTGCACGTGGCCGGCCGCCGGTGGGTGGTGGGGCCTTTTGCTCAGTTAAAGTGTGTCCAACCATACAGTGGGTACATTTGTGTTTCTGTGGGAGTGAAAAAGTGGAGATTTATTAGGTAGGAGAAGAAGAAGATACTCGCCCGTGAAACAAGCAAGTTCCTTGCTTCTTTGATAAGTACACAGAGCGGACTGACATCAATGAGTTAATGGATTTTTCCTTGCCTAACGTGAATCCCTGCTGTGCTCTGGACTCGTATGTGCTCATAAATAAATAGAGTTTCATCTACAGATATTTTAATTCATTATGTCTAAAATCTTGACTCATGATCAATGTCCAGGTTCAAGCATCTTTAATTTTTCGTATGATATATAAACTTTTGAAGGCAGACTAGAGTTTTTTTGTTTTTTGACAGGATGGCAGACTATAGTTTTAAATTAGTTATAAAAAATAGAGTTTTCTAATGTGTGCTATAAGGTTACATACTAGATTAAGAAAGTAGAATACCATGTTTGGCTTGAAAGGAGAGGGAAAAACCTTTATGCTCCTCCCCATTTCCCCTTAACCCGACGCTGCATAAGCATTTGCAGCCATTGAATACCTTTTCCAAGATGTAAGATAGGTACTTTTGCAGGACAAGTATCAAATTCAAGATGGTTACTACAATCTGACATGATAGTCTGGGAAGTATCTATGAATATGGAGATAAAAAAAGCTTTGAAGAGTATGGTTCAAGAGGATTAATGGTCCATGCCCACTTTGAAAAGTTCCAAATCAAGATAACCAACAAAACCCATCAATAGAAGGAACTTAAGAGTATTCTAAAAGAACAAGAAATATGCACCAAAAAAGCAGAAAAAAAAGATATGAAATCAATGACACCCTTCTCAATTTCAGCATAAATACTCCTTGCAGTGAAGAAAACGACATATGGAAGACCAAAATCACCAATTCAATCAACCACGGGCAATGTAAATGCGTGGGCTACTCCAAAATACCATATAGCCAAAATTAAGCAATTTTGCGCCCCTATCATAAGGAAGAATTAAGTATTCTATACAATTAAAAGGCGAAATCAAATTATTAATGATACTTCTATTACTCCATCCGAGGATTATTGGTATGTTGGTGGTAACGTAAAAAAGGGCTGACATAGTTCAACTTGAGAAGTATCATCCTATGGGAGTGTCGCCCTAACTTCTTTCCTATCCGCCCCAAACGACTTTCATCAAAGGAAAAAAAACAAAAAATTTATTGTCAGTATAGATAGAAAAAGTGGGAATTCAGAATCTGAAATAGAGTTTAATAAGGAATTTGGAATTAGCCGAAAGAGGAAGAAGCAAGTAACAAAAGCAAAGATAGACTGAAACTATACTAAAGGAATAATTCTCACCTCAACACCCATCCCTTTCGAATACACATTTGTAAAAAGTTCAGAAGGTTCAGGCATTGGGCTTTCCTGAAAATTAGAATGTAATGCATTAAATTAGGAGAATCCATTTAGTGTCTAACTGTGTACAAATGATACAAAAAAAATGGAAATCAAGCAAACATACACAAATAAACTTAAGTAAATCACCATTCATTTAAAGAAGAAGATTTACTAATGTTTTTGCAAAGTGACAAGATTACCTTGGCTTGAGCTATAGCATCATCTACCTCTTTTCTCACCTCCTTCTCAATATCCTGGAATCAAGAAAAAACCTCTCAGCTTTTCAAAGAAATTTATTATTATGATTTGGTTCAAATTATTGGCAAAAAAACAAAATAAGGGTCAAAATTTGTTTCAATGATTAACTCTTTTGCAGCAACTTGTTTAATCCCCAAATTAATGAGAGAAAAAGAAAGAATCTGAAGATCATATACACTAGTACTTCAAAGCATAAATCCAACTAAACATGAAGAATATTGTCCATGAATTCACTTCAAACAATACCTTCAACTCTTTCTCAGTAGCTAGGTCATGAGTTAGTATCAGCTTCCTTACTCTTTCAACTGGATCACGTTCCTAGGATTTGCACATAGAAATATGTCAATTATGCATAAACTAGGTGAAATATAATATGAAAACTAAAACTAACAATGTCAATCAAGCACAAACCTGTCTCACACCAGAAATCTCATCACGTGTGCGGTAGGTGCTGCCAGGATCAGACATTGAGTGACCATGATATCTGTAGGTGTCCATCTCAAGAATCTGAACACACATACCAAAAACCAAACCAAATTACTTTTTATATGACATATAAGGCTGTATGGGAAGGAGGAACAGAATGTATTTTTTAAAGCAACACAATTATTACTGCATTCAATTTATTGAATACACAAGTAAAATTTAGCCCATCAAATAAACCCAGAACCAGGTATTGCTGCCACAAATCAGGTAAGAAAGAGCAACATATAAATCATAAGAAGAAACTCCTTATTCTCAAGTTCATCCATGTCTCACCTCTTGAGTGGTTTTACTACTACTATTTAACATTCATTTGCTTCATGTTAAATGGAACCCCAAAAGGTCAGCATAAAATTTTTGCCTCATGTTACTTTTCCCCCACAGAAATAGTCTAAATTGTCTAATACACCATCTCTTTTCTGGCTACTAAACTTCCTGTTGATTTCTTGGAATTCTACAATGGAGTCTAGTTCAAGGGCATCTTGAGAACAACAAATCAATGCTGGACATTCCTAGTTTTCCTACATATATTATGCAGGCTGATACAGTCTAATTTATGCCCACCCTCAACCATAAAATCAGTCTTCCATTTTTTTCATCTGTTCATTAACTCTGTCCTGAACATCACAGCCTTGAAAATTGCTCAAGCATTTACATCTGGGGGATATTTTTCTGAATAAACTCCTCCAATTGAATGAACTAAGATACTTGGGCATAGCTAAAGATGAGGTACCCTTAAACCAGGAGGCAAGATAGTTGATAACTTAATACCCATGCAGAGGTAACAACTGTCCCATAATAAGTCCTTTATGCACCATATCCTCAACCTTATCTAATTCTAGTTATGATAAGTGAGCTTCTTGCCATGCATAATCTTATCAATAGAAAAAAACATTCACAGCACACATATCCAGATAAAACTTTAATTACAGACTATTAAGTTTAGGCCCAGAGGACACACACTAAAACATTGAAAGAATTTCAGAGAAAAAAAACACTGAAAATGGTCTAAACTCAACAAAATTAGCAAAAGATCATGTTTATTCAACCAACCAAAGTTGTTAGATGCTGAAATGAGGCTTGTCCTGCTTATAATAACTTGAAAAATATTGATGTTCTGTTACATATATAAGCATAGTAATATTGGTGTTCTGTTACATATATAAACATAATGATGCTCTTTGATTGCCAAGCAAAGAATTCTGGTGCTTCAATATTTAAGTTCTGACATCTGGTAACTTAAATGCTGAGCGTTGAAGTGATAGCACATAATTCAACAAATGGCAAGACCTTAAATTAACTTTTAACTAGTGAAGAAAATCAAGGTCTCACAATCCCTGAACAAGAACAAAATTATGTATTTGGCAATTTGCCAAAATAGTAACTCCCAAAATTATAACAAGTAAACAAGTTGGATAAAAAACTCACAATTGGTCCATTCTTCAATGCATGCTCTTTTGCAAACTTGCATGCCTGCTTCACAGCCAGGGCATCCATTCCATCTACCTACAAGGTACAAAGCATTTGGCAAGCACAATTAAATTATGAGAATAGAAAAGCAGAGCATTGACTATCCTTTTATCAATCTGTCCCAAGTCACTCAATGCAAAGAAGATAATTAACTCCTTTTTCTATAATAAATCACCAAAAGCGTTAGGACTCAACACACCTCACACAAAATGACATCAATGTTCAGCCACAAATTATGCTACTTGTGGACAAAATTAGGTTCATGTCAGGCATATGCAAGACCCTCTCCATATGCATCAAGTGCTGCCTCAAAAAGGAGTTAGATTTATACTTCAACAAAATTTTGCTCTTTTCAGTTTAAAGAGCTCTAGAACTTCAAACAAAACAGGTTATGAAAAAACCAATAAATTCCAAAAAGCACTTGAGTGTGAACATTTTGGATTTACTTCAGAAAAATTTACTCAAGAAAGCTATAAAAACAGTTCTACAGCTAGAGCAGTTACTCCTTCAAAACCAATTTGATGTCATGCAGATGGAAAATGCTATGAAGAGCCGCATTAGAAGCAAAAGGAGATAACTTACTACCGATAATTCTATTACCACAACATTTACCATAATTTAATAATGATGACTGATTATTGAAAGCTAACAGATTAATTTTGCTAAGATGATGAAAAAAAGAGACTAATATTGTCCACAGAACAGTTGCTGCACATAAGAAAAGAATTAAGATTGTAACATAGTAAAACAATTAGCTTTATTACCAAATCCATGGGAATACAGAATAATCAATCTCACCTTCAAGCCAGGAGCATAGTCCCCACGCTTGTAATATGCAGGGCTCTTTGCAGCTCTCCACTCCGCCGTCCCCATACCATCTAGGTGTTTGGACAAAATTGGTAAGTATAGAAGACAATGCATTCACAAACAAAAGGAAATCCATTTTAGCTCAGATTTGCTTACAGTGATTATTCTCGCAGACTAGAATTGCTGGCAGATCCCAAAGCGCTGCAATGTTCAAGGCCTCAAACAATTGACCTTGGTTAGCAGCACCATCACCGTACATAGCAAACGTCACCGTTTCGTCCTTGGAATACTTCTGTGCAAAAGCCAAGCCGCACCCTAGTGGAATCTGAGCCCCAACAATCCCATGACCACCGTAGAAATTAGCATCCTTCTTGTAGAAATGCATCGAACCACCCTTTCCTTTCGAACATCCAACCTGCCGTCCCATCAGCTCCCCAAATATCTCTAGGAGGGTCCCGCCGCGACCGAGGAAAGTGCAGTGGTCACGATAGGCAGTGATGATGCAATCCTTTTTAGTGATGGCGGCTTCCATGCCGACTGCAACAGCTTCTTGACCGTCATAGAGATGGCAGAATCCACGGATGAGCTTGGATTTGTAGAGTGAGTCGGCAGCGATCTCCATCCGCCGCATCCTAGCCATGTCATGGAAGAAGGAGAGGAGCTCCTTTGGAGTGGTCTCGACAGAGCGTGATGGTGGCTCGCATTGGTGGGAGGTAAACGGGACGGATGTCTCGATCGTTAAGGGAGTGGTGTCCGTGGAGATCGAGCGACGCAAGGAGAGAGCTGTGGCGAGCGGCTTGAGAACGGCGGCGGAGCAGGAGGAGGAGGTGGATACGCGCGATAGAACCATCTCGATTCCGATAGGTGTCTGTGAGAGGATCTGAATTTTGAAGCGTCCCTGAAACTCGTGCAGCAAAAGGTGAAAACAGAGGCTTGCGGAAAGATGCAGTGCAGACGACAAATGAAGAATAAACAACGACAATTGCTCTCCTGTTTGGCTACTTAAATTAAAAGTATGTTTGGTTGGGAAATTTTTTCCTGTAAAAGATATTTACATATTTTTATTTTATTTAATTTATTTATTTATAGTAAATTTATTTTTAAGAAAATAAAAATATAGTAATTTATTGACAAAATTTTATATTTGTTTTTAATTAAGTATAATTTAAATAAAATTTTTTATTTAATATATTTCATACTCATCTTTTTAAAAATAAAATAAAATAAAAATAAATGTACTAAATGATATTTTTTTAAAAAATAAACAATTAAATTTAAATAGTTTAAATAAGAAACTAAATTTATTAAAAATAAATAAAGAGACCACATACCATAATAAAATAAAAATAAAAATAATGTTTTAAGTTTTTTTTTTCTAACATAATTCTTGATTAAGAAAATTTTCTTACCATCATTTTTTAAGAAAAAAGTTTTTCTTTTAACTTTTTTTAATTAGACTTTCTTGACAATTTTTATCAAATACAAAAAAATTAATAATAATAAAATAATAATCTAATAAAATTCTAATAAGATTTATCAACTTTTTGTATAATATCTTACAACTTTGTTTAAAATATTTTTTAATAAAATTTTTTTAATCAAATTGATCTTTAATTAAACAAACAATAAGATAATCCTATCTCTAAATAAAATATTAATAAAATGTGTAAATAAAAATTATTTTTAATAAATGATATAATTATAATATTATATGCACCTAATCCTAGGGGTGTTCACAGTGTGGTTTGGTTCGGATTTTAACATTTTTTAATCCAATCCAATTTAATCGGTTAGTAAAATTTTTAAACCAATCCAATCCACTATTATATGATAACCAAACCAATCCAATTTAAATCGGATCGGTGTGGTTCAGTCGGATTGATCGGTTTTTAACACTATTAAATATATGAGATAATGTAAATAAATTTAACATTAAGTAAAAAACATAAATATAAAATACGTTAATATCCAAATAAATAGAAATATAATTAAAAAAAGTGCCAATTATAAACAAATTCTTATACTCTTTTACAATTGTAAAAATTGAAAAGATTTAAAAATTATAAATAAATTTTTAAATTTTTATCTTGATCTCCAAGAATACTTAAAAGAGAGCTGCCACCAGCCTCCCAAACTCTTTTAATTCTGAATTTAGATGGGTATTTATAAGGTTTTAAAAACTCTAATTGGAATAGAAGTAGGATTTGAAACAGAAGTAGAATTTGAAACAGAATAAGAAACTTGCATGTTGGACACTGAACGTATAGTGCTGACATCTTGAATTACGTGTCAACACAAAACAGGAAACAGAAAGTTTGGTTCAAGATTATTAACCCATGGTGTCGACACCCATATAATGTGTTTAAGAATAAACCCAACCAAATGAAGACAACAACCTAGAAGACAACAACCTAGACGACAACCCAGCAAAATGAAGACGACAACCTTGGCAAGTGCACGCCACTCAAGAAGGTAGGGTTTTAAAAATAAAGTTGCAACTCACTTATAAAGGTAGAATTGTAAGGGAATTTGAAATTTAAAATTAAAATTTAGGTATATAATTAAAAATAAATAAATTATGAAATATAAGATATG